CTTTGGCCTGAAAATCACCTTTTCCAATAGTTTTAGTGCAGGTCTACAAAGAACTTCTTTGTTTGAAAATATAGTTACTTTGTCCTTACTTATATTATTTTTTTCTGAATATAGAATTTTAAGCGAGTAATTATTATCTTTCAGCATTTTGATGATGCTATTTCCATCATATTCTGGCTTATTGTTTTTGTTAATAAGTTACATATACAGTAGTCTTATTTTTATCCTTGAAGGTGATGATTTTCTTTCTCAGATTATATTTAAGATACTCTGTTTGACTTTGGTTTTAAAAATTTCAGTATGATGTTCCTTGATAGGCTTTTTTTGTATTTACCCTTCTTGGTTTTCTTGGAAATTGCCGAACTTGTGGACTGATGTCTTTTTCAGCTTTGGGGAGCCATTATCTCTTGAAATATTGTTTCTCCCTCTACTCTCTTTCTCCTTTCATGTTAGGGGTCAATGTACACATAAGCAAAGATTGTTTCACTATGACTAAAATGTCCCCTATATTCTTTTCTCAATGCTGAGTTCTTTTTATCTCTGTAGATAGAGAATAGATACTTTCTACTCTCTCACTTTCTTTTCAGCAGTATTCTCTTATCATATGTCCAACTCATCTGTTAAATCCAATTATTAAAGTCTTAATTTCAGTTGTATTTTTATCTTTTTTATTTTTAGAAATTTATATTTTTATGTGTATTGTTTATATTATTACAGATGTCCCCATTCGTCCCCTATGCCCACCTCCACCCAGCCCCGGTCTCCCCTTCTCTCTGGCCGTCACCACACTGTTGCCTGTATCTAAGAGTTATGCACACACGTTCTTTGGCTAATCCCTTCACGTCTTCCATTTAGTCCCCCCTCCTCTCTGACAGCTGTCAGTCTGTTTCATGTATCTATGCCACTGTTTCTATTTTGTTTTTCAGTTTATTTTGTTCATTAAATTCCACTTATAAGTGATATTATATGGTATTTGTCTTTTTCTGACCAGCTATGTCACTTAACATAATAATCTTCAGGTCCATCCATGCTGTCCCAAAAGGTACGAGTTCCTTTTTCACAGCAATGCAGTAGTCCACTGTGTAAATGTGCCACATCTTTTTTATCCATTTGCCTACTAATTGCCACTTAGGCTGTTTTCAGATTGCAAATATTTTTGCTATGAACATAAGAGTGCATATATTCTTTTAAATTGGTGTTTCAGGATTCGTAGGATATATTTCTAGAAGAGGGATTGATGGGTAAAAGGCTGTTCCATGTTTAATACTTTGAAGAAATTTTATACTCTTTTCACAGTTTATATTCAATATACTTTTATATTAGTATAAGATGTACAGTATACTGTTTGGCCAATCATATACATACAAAGTGTTTCCCCTAATATTTACAGTACCTACTTTGCACTATACAGAGTTATTGCATTATTAGTGACTATATTTCCTATGTTGTATTTTACATCCTTGTGCCTATGGTGTAACCACCAAGTAGTACTTTTAATCCCAACATCTTGTTTCATCCCTCTTCCCCCACCCCTCAATTCTGGCATCCATCAATCTGTCCTCTGTCTCTATAAGTCGGTTTCTATTTTGTTTATTTTTTCTTTAGATTCTACATGTAAGTGAGACCATATGTTATTTGTTTTTCTCTGTCTGGCTTATTCCACTTAGCATAATACTCTCTAGGTCCAGCCACCTTGCTGTAAGTGGTAAGATATCTTCTTTTTAGTGGCCGAGTAACATTCCATAGTATAGTTGTACTGCATCTTTACCCGTGTGTCTATTGATGGACACTTGTGTTGCTTCTGTGGCTTGGCTATTGTAAATAATGCTGCAATGAATATAGGGATGCATATACTCTTTCAAATTAGTGTTTTGGGTTCCTTTGGATATATATCCTCAGTTGTATTTTCAATTGTATTTTTCAACTCAAGAATTTTCACTGGTATTTTCTATTTTTAAAGATTTTATTTATTTTTATTGAGAGGGGAAAGGAAGGGGAAAGAGAGGGAGAGAAACATCAATGTGTGGTTGCTTTTGTGTGCCCCCTACTGAGGACCTGGCTTGCAACCCAGGCACATGCCCTGACTAGAAATCAAACCAGCGACCCTTTGGTTCGCAGTCTGTGCTCAATCCACTGAGCTACACCAGCCAGGGCTCATTGATACTTTTACAAATGGCACTTTTCTGAGATTCTCTTTCTTCTGGTTTTGAACATGTTAATCAAAATTATTTTAAACTTTATGCTTAATAATTCTATGTCTGAGTTTTTTTAATTATTAAATTCTAGACATTGTATTAAAAAAGTTATAGAAGTTCTGGTTCCTTCTTCTCAATGGCAGGATTTTTGATTGGTTTTGTCTGGCAGCCCAATCAGGGATTGAGCTCATTTTAGTCTAGGGAAGGCATGTTCTATTGATAGTCAATATTTTCTCTTGAAAAGTAGATTTCTGGAGCCCCAGCTGAGAGCAAGGGGCAGTTACAGGAGCTCCTCCCTCCATCCTGGCAGGCCCTGACTTCCCAGCACAATGAGACTGCTAGAAAGCACTTCTTGGCTTCTTCAAATTCCTACTGATCACTTTCTACCTGGTGTCCCATGAAACCAACCCTGTGCTGCTTTGGAAGGGGCAAACCTCTGAAGGGGAAAAGTGGTGCTGCACAATTCATTTCTTTGAGCTCTCCTGGATGCTTGATAGCCCCAAATTCCAATTTTTCTCTTTCTAGGTATGTGAAACTGCTAAAAACTCAACTCGGCTTCTCTCCTCCTTAACCCTCCCTCACTTTTGCTCTGCTTCTCAGACTCTCTTGTGGTGCCAGTTTCTAATCCACAAATGTTTTGATGGGAAAAAAGTGCAGAATATTGTGTTTCCTCATTGTGTTTTCCCACCTTTCAAGACATTGGTTTCTCAAGTTCCATCTGCCCTGATAATGTTCTTGTTCCTTAAAACAGACGTATAAGAAATTATCCACTTTTCACATTGCCCTTGGTAGGAGCATTGATCAGATTTATTGAATAAAATATGTTTCCCTACTGCTTTGGAAATTCACCCTTTCATATAGTAGCATTTGTCTGACTACTATTATACCTGCAATCTGCTGTTTCAATGATTGAACTTTAATTATTCATTTTACTACCTGGTGGTTCAAATACCCTTTCAATACTCCTCCTTGTCAATTTTGTCTTGGAGCTCACATCAGCATTTCTTTGCCCACAGTGTCAGCAGTGATTATGATCAGGACTGAAGTGGGAACGGTGGGGATGCAGAGCAGAGTGGAAGATATGGACTATTGCCGTCTCTGGTGCATGAGGGTTTTGGGGGCTGGAGATGGCACACCCCATGATGCAGCCTCCTGGCTCAGGAAACTAAGAGAATGGTGGTGTCCTTAACTGTGACTGGGGATATAAGGGAAGCAGATTGTAACAGAAAGGATCATCTGTTGAAAGAGTAGAAGCAAGGGTAGCATAGATAATTATAAAAGATTGATGATGTTTTAAAATGACTTCTTTAGCTAGTAGTATAGAAAGTTGACTTATCACTATCAAAAACATCGAGTAAAGTCCAGTGTGGATGAGATGTCAAATGAAATTAGTTGAGGCACCAATGCCAACGGAAGTATCATTTCAAGGAGCCGTGCAGAGCAGCCTTTCTCGTGTGTTCCACCGTGTGACGTGTGCTGTTAGGCTTTACCCAATGATCACAGGCAATTAAGGAGTCTAAGCTTGGAGAGAGGGTGCAGACGGCAGAGAAATCAAGTTTGGGAGACTTTAGGGCAAAAAAAATTGTAAGTGAGAATAATAGAAGCTACCGGTGAAAAAGCTAATGACATGAATAAATTCTAGTCTTGTGAAACAAGAAATGAATTCAAGGAGATTATTGCAAGTATCAAGTTTGTTAATAAGAGCTGCAGAAGTTTTATAAGCTATATATCAAAGTACGGTAGTACTATATTTTATTGCTAGGTCATTTATGTGAAGGATATGGTAGAGCTGTGATGAGACCTGACCCTCTCTATTCTGGCTCTGCTCTCTGCAGCCTGAAGATAAAACAGTTGCTAGACAGGGAGTTTGTCTAGATGCAGCTTCTTAGCATCTTTTACTTTTGTCTATACCAACTAGTCTTTCCTTCCTCACCCTTAAAGAGACTTAGAAAATATCACTCTGGATTGTATAGTCTAGCTCTAAATACAAAGGATGGATTTTTAAGATTTGTTTTTATAGGATCAGAATTGCAGAATTTTAGCCTGGAAAGAAATTGTACAATCTACTTGACTCCTACATGTTCTTCACTTGATAAATGAGACAAAGAACAGCAAAGACAAGGCTGAAGTAACCTGTAAATCAAAAGCAGGGCTAACCTCAGGAAACCCAGGTTGCTCATGACAAATTCAGATACTCTCACTATAGTGTGGAGATTCATATTACCTTACTGAATTAATTTACTGTATCACTTTGCATATTGCACCCCTGCCCCACTCTCCTTTAAGATTCAGCAAAATTTTTATTGTGGAAGAATAAAAAGTGGTTTCGATCCTCTCTCTCCACAGTATCAGATTTCTGAAAATTGCTGACACAAAACACTTTCAGACCCAAATTTAATATAAAAGCACTGAGTATGCAAATAAGGCATAAAGGCAAACTTTAGAAATGAACTAAAGAGATGAAGAATCAAGATTAAGATGTTTAAGATTAGACTTCAGTCCTGCACTTCTTCTGTTCTTTTCTGGTCAACAAGCAACTTTGACCCCAAACTGTAGATGCACACCTGGACCAGCAACAGTCACCGAGCTACTTATCAAATCTCACTCTCGGGGCAAAGTCTGTTCAGACATGCTCACCCCACCCCCATCCTGTTTTACTTCAGTGTCAGAAGGAAATGAAGCCACAACCAGAACAAAAAGAACTCTAACACCTTTTGCTCCCTGCCTCCTCCCTCCCTCCTCACTGTTCTCCCCACCTACAGCTACACCACCCCAGCTGGGCTCTAGTGTGACATCCCTGCCTGCCTGAGGGAGGGATCATGAGCAGAGTCTGCATTTACAGGCAAGTGACACCCAGGAGCCACAGGCTTCTGTAAGTACGAGGTCTGTGCGAGACCCAAGTCATAGCAATGGCATTGTCACTGGAAGAATTTGTCCACTCTCTTGACCTCAGGACCCTGCCCAGGGTCCTAGAAGTCCAGTCAGGCATCTACTTTCAAGGTAAGCACTCTCCTGTCTGTTGGCTGGCTAAAAGTACTTATAAGGTATATACTCTTGGGAATTGGAGGAAGATATTTTAATAGAACATGTATGAGTTCTGTTAAAGGACAGGTGAAAGAGAGAAAGTAATGAGAGAAAGTAATAGTCAAGACCCAAGAGTAATAAGGAAGAGAGAGACTCTGGGGCAAACAGGGGGAAGGAATTGTGTGAAGCTTCTTGAGCTTTTCATAACCTTCTAAATAGTTCAACATGAATGGTGAATTATTTCTGCCTTTTCTTTGAAATAGGTTATAATGCAAGACCGAAAAGTTAAGCTATCTATGTTTCTAGAATATAGAGAATAAAATTTAATTTTATAAAACAAAAGTAATTATTAAAAGGGCAGTGTTTAGAAAGAAAAATTCAGCCAGCTCTTAACGACTTTTTGATGTTGCCTTTGTCAGTGCCTCTCACACCCTTTCTGTAGGAGGCCAAACTCCCCGTTCTTTAAATGATGCCATTCTTATTGAAGGTATAGAAATTAATGTTTTCTAATCACAAGATAGTTTTTAAAAATTCATGTTGAAAAGTCAAGATTCAGTTTGGATTATTGATTAGTAAGTTAACGTGTTTTCAATGCAATTTACTGTGTTAATTCAGCAAAAGCATGTTAAGGCCTAGAGATTCTTTAAGCAGTTAGTTTAGATAGATGCAAGAAAGTAAGAGGTGTTTTCTAGGCAAACATGTATTTCTTGTCATAATGGTGGTAGAACTGATGCACTAATAAAATTGAATACAATAAAACTACTAGGAAAGTAACTTAAAGAAGTGTTGGTAGGCAAAACTTTCATAGAAAAAACGTTTTAGATATTATATTATAAAATAAAACAAATATTGACAAATGTCAAATCCAACACACACGCACACACACACACACACACGCACACACACACACACACCTGTTGGTGCAAGCTATCATCAGCGTAATATCAGGTTTTGTTTAACTCACTTGTAAATTGGTTATTTGAAGTCAAACCACATTTTTCCATGTATACAATATTATGCAATATATCTTTGTTCACAAGTCAGTCCCAAATCATTTTTTTTTGTTTCATAGTTTGTGCTATGGAGGCTTTACATACAAAGTCAGTCTTCATTCCCAGGTTACAGAAATATTTTCCTACATTATTTTATATCGACTTATCCATTTTGTAATTCACATTCAGTTTTTAATTCATTTGGAGGACACTTTGCTCTGAGGTGCAGAGGGATCCAATTTTAGTTTAGTTTGGGTTTTTTTTTCCATAAAATAAACCTGACCCCCCAGTACCATTTGCCCAGCTAGCCATCCTTTCCCATTGATTTGTATCACTGCTGTAAGTTATATGTAAACTTGCATCTGGAACAATCTGTCTCTGAAATATCACTTACATACCATTAGTCTATTTTTTCCTCGACTGTGCCAAAATCACCATATTTTTGTAACTATGGCTCTGAAGTGTGTTACTGTGTAGTCCATGTACAGATTGACCCCTGTTTTCCTCCTTTTATCTAAGTCGACTTTAGCTTTTCTAGATTTTTTTGAATATGTTCTTAAAGAAATCAGCCAGTTACTTAAGAAATTCAATTAGAATTTGTATTGGATTATACTGATTTTGTAGATTGACTTAGGAAGATTTGACATTTTTACATTAAGTCTTAGAAAAGAACAGAGTATGTCTCCCCATGTGTTGAACCCTCTTCATCCTTTAATAGTTCACTACTATGCTATACTTCAATTAAGGGGGGAGGTATATACCTAGAGGAATGTTTATGAAGTAAGGACATTTATGTAACCACCACCCTGGTCAAGAAATAAAAAATTACAAATATTCTAGAAATCTCATCTTGTGCTTTTTTTCTCAAACATTATCCTTTACCCTCCTCAGAGGTGATCACTATCATGACTTTTGTTCATTTATGAACTTTATATAAATAAAAAATTATAGTATGTATCATTTCCTAACTGGCATATATGCTCAGCATCATCTTTTAAAAATTAATCAATGATGTTCTATATAGTTTATTCATTTCAATGTGTATAACACTTCATTGAATGAATATATACAACTTATTAGTGCATTCTACTGCTAGTGGATATCTGAATTGTGTCTAGTATGGAGTTGTTACCAGTAATGTCATCATGAACATTTTTGTACATATGCATACACATGTATGTATATTCAGTTGTGTATATAAATTAGTGAAATTTCCATGTCATATGGTATGTGTATACTCAGCTTTGGTGAATAATGAAAAACAAGTTTCCCTAGTAGTTATACCAATTTACATTCCTACCAGCAGTGTATGAGAGTTTCAATTCATCTATATCCCTGGCAACATTTGATGTTATCAGTAATTATAATTTTAGTTATTCTGGAGTATAGCATTTATAGTTTGCATCTTTCTGCCTGGTGACCAATGAAAATAGGCACCTTTTCATATATATGTTTACTGGCCTTTTGAGGATGCTCTTTTATAAAAACATTGTTCATGTCTCGAGCATTTCTCCACTGTACTTCATGAACTTTTTTAATTGATTGGAATATATATATATTCCAACATATATATATATATCCACACACTGTATATATATATACTATATACATACACCACACACACACACACACACACACACACACACATACTGGGATTTCTGACCCTTTGTTATCCATGCTGAGATATCTATCTCAGTCTATAGCTTAGTATTTCATTTTTAAATGGTGCGTTTTGATGAAAGTTTTAATTTTAATGGTATTGTATTCAGTTTATAATTGCTTTCTTTCTTATCCTTTCAAATAATTTTTTACCCTAAACTCATGAAGGTATGTTTTGTCTTTTTATAAGTTTCTAATTTCTTTTTTTTCCATTACAGTTTACATTCAATATTATCTGTATTGGTTTCAGATATACAGCCATAGTGGTTAAACAACAATATACTTTATATTGTTATAAAGTATAAGTATTCTTTAGCAGTCCTCCCATATTTCAATCACCCACCTGGCACCGTGCCTAGTTATCACAGTATTATTGATTACATCCCCATGACTATGTTGTGACTACCAGTTGGTACTCCTCAGTCCCTTCAACTTTTCCACCCAGTCTCCCAACCTCCCTCTCCTCTGGCAACCATCAGTCTGCTCTCAGTGTCTATGAATCTGTTTGTATTTTGTTTGTTCTTTTATTTTTCTCTTTGGATTCCACATATAAGTAAAATCGTGTAGTATTTGTCTTTCTATGTCTGATTCAGCAAAATACCCTCTAGGTCGAGCCATGCTGTTACAAATGGTAAGATTTCATTCTTTTCTTATGGCCAAGTTTATATACATACATATATATATATATAATCTCACCATTTATCTATTGATGGGCATTTGGGTTACTTCCATAGCTTGGTTATTGTAAATAATGCTGCAATGAACAGGAGGGAGTATATTGTCTTTCAAATTAGTGATTAATGTTTTCAGTTTCTCAAATATATACCCAGAAATGCAATCAGTGGGTCACAAGGCAAATCCATTTTTAATTCCTTGAGAAATCTCCATACTATTTTCCATAATGGCTGCACAAAATCAATCTTCATTCCTACCAACCATGCACGAGGATGTCCTTTTCTCCGCATCCTCTTCAACATTTGTTGTTTGTTGATTTATTGATGGCGGCTCTTCTGACAGGCATGTGGTGATATCTCATTGTGGTTTTAATTTGCATTTCTCTGATGATCAGTGACAGTGAACATCTTTTCATATATCTGTACGTTCTCTCTGGAGAAGTGTCTATTCAGGTCCTCTGCCCATTTTTAAATGGATTGTTTGATTTTTCTGGTGTTGACTTGCATGAGTTCTGTGTAAATATTGGATATTAACTAACCCTTTATCATAAGTGAGTATCTTCTCACATTCAACAGGCTTTCTGTTTTGTCTATGATTTCCTTTACCGTGCAAAAACTTTTTAGTTTGATGTAGTCCCATTTGTTTATTGTGGAAAATAATTTCTTACATTGCCTTTTTGTTTTTTGTTTAGTCCCACCTTAAGATCTGCAAGGTGGGACTAAACTAAAAAATATTGTTACAATATTTTTATGGACAAACTGCCTTTCTCCCTCTCTTTAACTGTGTCATATTAGTCATAAACAGTGTCCATACATGTCTGGTTCTCTTTCTATAGCTTCTATTCTGTTCCATTCATGTAATTGCTGTACTCACACCAATCTTACCTTGTCTTAATTAATATAGGTTTGCACCAATATAATGTACAACTTATATTAAACATGATAATATGTGGCAGAGACATGCTTCCCAAACTTATTTGCACATTAGAAAAATCTGGGAAGTATTAAAACTAGAGATGGCTGGTCTGTCCTCAAAACATAAGAATTTAATTATGTAGGAAATAAGGCATTACCATGAGGTTTTTAAAAATCTCCCTGATGATTATGACATGCACCCAAATTTGAGAACTGCTAGTTTTGTACTACTATGTAATGTTCTCCCAATTTCTTATTTTCCTTCAGGTTTAGCAGCATGAATTTTCATATACATTTTAGAATTAAATGATCAACTTCCACAAAAGCCCTCTTAGCATTCTGATCAACGGTGCATTGATTGGTTGGGCAGAATTGCCACCATTTTAAGTTTACTAATCCATGAACCTCATGTAGCCTTTCAGTTATATAGATCTCTTCATTTTATAATTTCTTAGTTTTGTTTTGTTTCTTTCATTGATTTCTAACTTGACCTCTGTTATTTTATTGTGTTTGTCTGTTTGCTCCTTTTCTAGCTTTCTAGGTTAAACAGGCAATCATTTAAAAACATTTGTTGAATTTTGATGTGTTTAAAACTGTATTTTTCCTCTTAATACATCTTTAACTGTTACCCATAAATTTTGCCATGTAGTATTTTTTCTATTACTCAGTTCCAAATACAATTTATTATTTTCAATCCAATGGATATTTATTTATTTACTGATAATATGGGGTTTTC